TATATATATATATATATATATATATATATATATATATATATATATATATATATATATATATATATATATATATATATATATATATATATATATATATATATATATATATATGTATTGATTTACCTGTTAAAAAAATTAAGCAAAAAATTTATTATCAGGTAGATCAGCTCCTGACAGACATGTTAACAGGTCAGTTTAACTCTTATTAAATTCATTCATTCATTCATTTTCTTTTCTGATTAGTCCCTTTATTAATCTGGGGTAACCACAGCGGAATGAACTGTCAACTAATCCAGCATATGTTTTATGCAGTGGATGCCCTTCCAGCTGCAACCCATCACTGGGAAACAACCATATACGCTTATTCTCACTCATACACTACAGACAATTTAGCCTACCCAATTCACCTGTACCCCATGTCTTTGGACTTGTAGGCAAAACCGGAGCACCCAGAGAAAACCCACTCAAACGCAGGGAGAATTTGCAAACTCCACACAGAAATGCCAGCTGATCCAGTCGAGGCTCGAGTCAGCATCCTTGCTGTAAGGCAACAGCACTATTGTGCCACCACGTCATGCTCTTATTAAATTATGTTTATATAATGTTGTGTTTCAGTACATGCTATTTTGGAAAGACAAAATATATTCATAAGCTCTCAGAAAATTCAATAAGACAATTAACTGCACAATTACTTGAAATGTGTGGATGGGATTACATTATTTGTTAACCCAAAGTGAATTTCTCTTTCTTTGCAGTATTGGATGCCTGATTGCAGTTCAACTCCAAACTCAGTTGGACCTGCTGATCAGTGTCTTCAGTATTACCACAAGCTACTGGGCAGATGTGTGGACACGACAGCTATGAGCCAAACTTGGGACGTTTGGTTTTTAGGTAATACCAGTTACAAAGTATTCAGTAAATTGCTTATAATAAAAGATGCTCACTGCTTACCCCCTTATAGTTAAGTTGTTTGCAGTTTCATTGTTGTAAAAATACCATACTTTTTCCTTTTTTATCAGCAGGTGGAGAGACCGTCTGGGCAGCAGAAACAAGACAACTAATCATAGTTGAGTTGAGATTAGTATTATTAACTTGACTAGTTTGGTTGCAGACTTGTTCAATACTTAACAATTTGTAGAAGTTACAAGATCAATGGTCCTGCTATCAATGTTTTTGTAACTTAAATTCATTACAGTTTAGATACAATCAAATGTCCAAACCATCTCTGAGGGAATGACATCAAGGAAACAGGATCAAAAGATCATTCATTATAGACCGTTTCATAGGTAACAGCACATCCTTTGTGAAAAATAATTTATTTTTGTGTCATCATCACAAGACAAAATACATTTCAACTGATTCCAGTTGGTTGTATTTTTCAGGTCATTCTGTTCTCCTGGTGGTGAGGATGTGCAGAGGCTGTATTTGTGCAGCTGTATTCACACATACAAGCAGCCGACAAAGAGTTCTGGAGCAGGACAGACAGGTAGTTCACAGTGGCTAGGCTAGAAATTTATACTTGGGTGGCCAGAAAGTGGCCTCCGCTATTTTGGGGGGTCCATACAAATAAACCAGTGTAAGCTATACTATTGCACTGAAAAAATTAAATGAAAGAATTAATTAATCGGTTGAACAAAAAATATTTTAACGAAAGCTTAAGTATCAAGGTGGCAATATACAGTATCTGTTACATTGTAGTACATGAGCTGGCTAATACAGACTCGTAAACGTTTAGTTGTTAAGATTAGTTAAATACTATATCCTCTACTTGAGACCAGCTGCATATACAGCTTTAACTGAACTGAATTTAACTAGAACTACACCAGCATTCCAAGTGCTCTAGACTAGCTTTTTGCACTGGTGCGTCTAAAATGTTTGATGGCATTGCATTTAACGCTGCAATTTTACATGTTCATCTTTTTTTTAGATCCCAATCCATATAGGCAATATTGACTTGTAAATGATTAACTAAAATCGGGTCAACACACATTATGGGGATTGTGTGTAGAATTTTGAGGAAATTAATGAATTTAATCCATTTTGAAATAAAACTGAAACATTAAAAATGTGGAAAAAGTAAAGCGCTATCAATACTTTCCGGATGCATTGTATATGGTTTTTAGCGCGTTATCAAAGACTTAAAAAAATAGTCCAACATTATCTACAGCAGCAAAAGACCCTCCACATCAAAAGCTACTGGTCAGCTCACGATTCAGCAAACATCTGAAAAACAAATAGCTTATTATGCCTTCACAAGAAATCAGTGTTTTAATGAAGAGTCTAATGAAGATAGTACTATTTTATTAAATTATTATTTAGCCTGGCATGTTTACTGTTACAAAATATTTTAAATGTTTCTTAAAATAAAACATATTGTGTTCAATGGGGAAAAAGTAGCTGCTTTTTACACAGAGATAAAAAAAAACACATTTCAGAGCAGTAATCACAATACTGTGAACCTGTGATATTTTTATCCAAGATTATACCCTCAGAATCTTATACCTGCCCATTCCTAGCCAGTTAGTTAAAGCATTCAGTCTTTTTTTATTTATTTTTTTCAGTTGTCCTATATTCTGTTTTTCTATGTTCTTGGAAATGCTGCTGTGCATGAAAATGTGACGATATATCCAGGTACTATAGTTAATTCTGAAATAAATCTTAAAATGAAACAATATTTAAAAATGCAATATTTAATGTGTCAGACACTAAATAAACATGTCAATTCATTTATATTAATCTGATTCCTTAACAGGGCAGCACGGTGGCGCAGAGGGTAGCACGTTTGCCTCACAGCAAGAAGGTTGCTGCTTCGAGCTTCGGCTGGGTCAGTTGGCGTTTTTGTGTGAAGTTTGCATGCTCTCCCCGTGTTGGCGTGGGTTTCCTCCGGGTGCTCCGGTTTTCACAAGTCCAAAGACATAGGTGAATTGGGTATGCTAAAATTGACCATAGTGTATAAGTGTGTGTGAATGAGTGTGTATTGGTTGCAGCTGGAAGGGCATCCGCTGCGTTAAACATATGCTGGATAAGTTGGCCTTTCATTCTGCTGTGGCGACCCCAGATTAATAAAGGGACTAAGCCCAAAAGAAAATGAATCCTTAACAGTTAATATTGGTATAATGAGCAGTAGTTGTCATTTATGTAAATTAACCATTTGAGCGTGCTTAGTTTGGGGTATGTTGTGCCATTAAATTGTCAATTGTCAATTTCTACATTTTAAATCTGCTTTAGCTTTCTTCTTTCCTATGAACCTGGAAATATAAAATATATATTTTTTTGGTTTTTAACAAATTGCTTATTTTATTCTTAGATTGGTGTACGCTGATGGTCTGCTGAGAATTCTGCTGAGTTTACATTTACATTTACATTTAGTCATTTAGCAGACGCTTTTATCCAAAGCGACTTACAAATGAGGACAAGGAAGCAATTTACACAACCAAGAGCAACAATGAATAAGTACTAAAGGCAAGTTTCAGGTCTGTAAAGTCTAAGAAGGGAAGTGTTAGTAGTTTTTTTTTTTTTTTTTTTTTTTTTTTTTTGTACAATTAGTGTGATATTCAAAGAGGCAATTGCAGCTTAGGAAGTGAAGTGGAGACTAAATAGTTGAGTTTTTA